TAAAAGATTAATTCTCTTTTGTTTAAAGTGTTTTGTGAAACTGAATCGCAAAATAAGTAAGATATAAAGACTTGTATGGATTATAATGGATCTTTTAAGAGATATAAACAATGGAGATTGTGATAAGCTAAGTTCTCAAGTAACTTGTTGAGTCTAGAGGAAAAGAAATTAATAAGAAAGAACCCGTTGATTTAATGTTCCCTCTTTTGGATGAATATTGTATAACCGTTTTAACCTGATCAACTAAAACTCAATGACTTGACATGGACATAGGGCACCATCTGCTGGATGAATGTTGTATGACAATTCATTTCATTTCATTTTTATTTGGTAGAATAAGGCTGTAAGAATAAGTGATTTAATTGGATTTTGTATAGTGAATTGTTGATGCCACAAAAACAGCCACAATGAAAAATTCACTCTGTTTGGACATATGAAATAAGAAAGTATCATATTTTATTTTAACTAGAGTTACTAAATTAGCATGTACAGAGAGTGAAGAGAAATTGGAGGGAGCCTCCGGAAGTGAAACAATGGCTCATGAAAAGACCTTGAAAGCTTTTCAGAAGATTCTAAACTCAAGTTTGCACCAATTAAAAGAAGATAATTCTCAGAAATTTAAACAGATGAGAGAGCAGCTGAAAGAAGATATAAACAAACAAACAAAGGCTATTAATCAGATGAAATGAACATCAGTAAGCTTTTACAAAAATGGTGAATTAAATGAAGGTGATGGAGAAGAAATTCAAAGAAACAGAGATGTTGGCTAAAGCTAATACATTGGATATCATTTGCCTTTCTGGAAAAAACAATCACAGCAGGAGAAAAAGGTGATTCATATGGTGGACAGAGATCATAGAAGGAATTTATGATTGAAAAATATAACAGAATGACCATCAATGGAAGAACAGCAACTTAGAAGTGATGTGCTTGCATGGTTTAAAAAACTAATGCTGACAAGAAATGGGAAGAAGGAGAGAGTACATCATGTTGGCTTCCAACACTGAGTTAGACTAACTTTGAGAGATGATAAGTCTCTCCAACTTCTCTCAGAATGAAAGGCTGATGAGAAAATTGAGAGAAAATTCAGGTCAACTAAAGTTTAAGGATGCACCTGTTCAAGTATTTCAAGATTTATGTTTCCAGACTATTTCATTTAGACATTCATTGCATGCATTTAACATTATTTTGTTGAATAATAATATTAAATATATATGGGGAGACCCAGTGTATATGAGAGTTTGGCATAATTACAGAATAGAGTTGTTGGAACAAGGTTTAAAATTGGTGCATGAATGGGGACTTAAAGACTAAGACCAGTGGAAAAAAAATTGAAGAGACGGGCCAGAATAGAAGACAGGATTAAGAATTTATGTCAAAAGAAGGAAAAGGAGCAGTTGGCAGAATTTCTTCAATCCCGGCTACTGACTATGAAGAACAGGATCTTGCAGTATTTTGAAAGTTTCTTCAGGATGAAAAGGAGGAGCATGGGGCAGTGTGGTGTCTTTCTCCAATTTATCCTGTTAAATGAGTTGAAGAAGAGGCATTCTAATCAATAGTTAAGAGACGGACAATAATTTACACTCTACTTTATGTTAGCTATAGAGAAGGGGGACAATTATTGGGTAAGGTTTATTATACAAGATTAAAAGATAAGTAATAGCTTATAACTAAGATAGAAGAATTTATAAATGGGGTAGAGTACTAATTTTGAATAAGCTAAATATGATATTGGATGAATTTTGAGTATGTGAAGTACATATAATTGGGAAAGGTACTAATGAGAATTTAAAGAGTTAAAGAAGTGAAAATTGTTAAAAGGATGGATCAAGATAAGAGGGGTGTAGTGGCAATGGGAAGGAGAAATTCAGAGTCAAGCAGACCAGTGGTTTCTCCCTCCCCCTTTCCATGTAGGTGGAAATAGTGCCCGGAATAATGATATTCTGGGGGAAAGGGGGGGAAGGTAGTCTTTTTTTTGTAAAGGTTTGTTTTTGAGGGGATGGGGAATGATAGTGTGGGTTGAGGAAATTTATTATTATTATTTGTGTGTGTGTACATATACTTGTCAGGGTGCATAAAGAACCAACAATGATATGTCTATTAAATTTGAAATGGTTAAAATTGTAAGTGCATTATCTTTGAATATTAAAGGCTTGGGGAATGTAATTAAAAGAAAAGATGGAGCTATTATAAATATAGATAAATCAGATATTGTATTTTTGCAAAAGACACATCAAAGAAAAGAGGGGGTTAATGTCATGCCTGACACCTCAACAGAGGCGGCACCTCACGAGGAAGAGTCAAATGCCCAAAGAGAGAATTGGGCATCAGAACAGGAGGACTTATCCTTGAGGAACTGTGACCAAGCGACCCTTCCACAACCTGGCTTAGGGGTAACTGAACAGATGCCTGTCCCTCATCCTGACCCTTTGCCCATTGGGCAGACAGCCACACCCCAGTGCGACCACGAGGGCCCCAAGGGAAAAGACACTACACGTTCTGTCCCTGAAGAGCGGGGGCAGGATGCTCCCCTTCCTCCTGACGCTGAGTCTCCTGAACAAGATACAGGAGATGCAAGAGGCGGGATAGATTTGACTCTCACGTCTCTTAGATGTAGCTTACACCGATTGGAACAAATTATTATTATTATTATTATTATTATTATTATTATTATTAGAAAATGGAAGCTTTGTCCCACCTTAGGGGGGAAAGGAGGGACAGAGAAAGCTAATCCCACCTGGGTTCCCTGAAAGACGTTACTAAGAAGATAGCAACTAACTTGTAAAGACCATTGCAGTAGAGCTTATTCATAGCATCGTAAATCTTGTAGAAAAGTAGCAATAAAAGTCTTTAGTTTTATTGCCTGCATAAGTGTGGATCATTTATCACCTCACAACAGTTAATGAGTTAAAGATATATTTGGAGACTGTTTATTGAATATGTATAAATAAAAAGAAAGGAGTGTGAAACATCACAATGCAGTTTGGAAAAGGAAGTGGAAGTGGGGCAAACTGAATAAATAAAAGATATAACATTGAGTGGCATGATTTGTTCGTCCCGGTTGAAGTAGCACTGTTATAATGCAATGCTTAATAATGTTTATTAGTAGTTTTTCATTATGTTCATTACTATTATATTAATTGCATTGTTTATGTATGCTCAATTAATAGAAATTAAAAAAAATTCAGAACAGTATAACCCTTGAGTAATTTATGATGATCAGATTCATATTATTGAGTGCAATCCCTTTTCTGCACATCCATGTGTTGCATGCTCAACATGGGTACAATGGGAAAAGCCATGGTGGCTTCAGTGACCCTGCAGCGAGCAAGAGAACATAATCTAGCAGAGGACAGAGAGAAATTGTATGGCAAAATTCTTCTGTGCTGAATGTTCAATGGCTGGAATGGACAGCAATAAAGAGAAAACATAAAAGACTGGGATGAATGCATGTGGAATGTATTGATTAGCAAAGAAAAGCTAATGGGTATTTGTTCACTGAACATTATATGTTTTAGCAGAGCATCGTTTTCCTCAGGAAAAACACATTTGCATGCAAAACAATATTCAAATACCATATACTATAACAGTCATGGAAAGAACGTGCTGGAATGCTTAAAATGCAGCAATTTCCATAAAGTGGTTTTGATCTCATTGTTTCCCGTGCTGTAAATGAATGGATACAATATGCGGGGAATTCTCATATATATCACAGGAGAAGCTTATCCCCAAATCAGAAGACTCATCTGTAGAAGGTCTCACATGGGATAATACTGACGTGAATATGAGCAAAGAGAAAACAGTCAGATGGGGAAAGCAAGTGGAGATGGCTTCCTTCTGACCATGTACAGAGGAAACTTTGAGGAGTGCAATAAAGATCTTCACATATGTAATGGTGATGAATATGAAGCAACACATTGCTGTATGAAAACCTAGGACAATGAACCCAACTTCAACTAGGAGAATGTCAGAACAGGAGAGTTTTAATAACTGAGCAATTCACCATATTAGAAGGTGTTTGTAAATGTAATGCAAATGTATAAGACCTGGCATACAGCAAAACAGTACTAATACAAAGACCAAACACAAACAAAAATATTAAAAAATATTAACATGGAAACAAACACATGTTTGCAAAAACACTCACAAAGAAAAGAATTGCACTTTTATACAATCAAAGAGATGTTTGCAGTGGGCAAAAGCATATCAACTACCAGAGGACAGAGAGCAATCACATGACAAAATTCTTCTACGCTGAATGATCAGTATGGGCAGTGTTAAGGAGAGATGATAGAAAAGACTGGTCTGAATTCATTTCAAATGTATCGAACATGACTAAAATACAAATGGGTATTTGCTCACTGAGCACTACATGTTTAGCAGAGCATTGAATTATTCAGGAAAAATTAAAATATAAACATTTGCATGCAATACAATATTCACATGCAAAAGAACTGTACTTATTTGAGTCTTGGAAAAGACGTTTTAGAGGAACGATCAAAATGCAGTAATTTCCATAAAGCAGTTTTGATCTCATTGTTTCTCATGCTGTAAATGAATGGATTCAGCATGGGAGGAATTGTGGTATACAGCACAGCAGAAGCTATGCCTAAATCAGAAGAAGCATCTGTGGGGGGTCTCGCATATGCAAATACAGCAGTGAATATGAGCAAAGAGACAACAGTGAGATGAGGAAGGCAGGTGGAGATGGCTTTCTTTTGACCATGAACAGAGGGGATTCTGAGGACTACAGTAAAGATCTTCACATATGTAATGATGATGAATATGAAGCCACCTACCCCAATGTTAAGAGCAAGCAAGCTGACACCAACTTCAATTAGGTAAATGTCAGAGCAGGAGAGCTTTAGTACCTGTGGGATTTCACAAAAGAACTGATGGACATTGTTAGAGCAGAAGTTGATTGTAAAGGTGCCACAAGTATTCAAAACAGCATTAAGAACACCAGCAACCCAACCAAAAGCTACCATCTTGAGGCAGGCTTTTTGGTGCATGATTCTCTCATACTGGAATGGGTTGCAAATAGCAACATGGCGGTCATGTGCCATTATGGTTAGGAGGGCCATATCTGTTGCTGCAAAGAGGCAATATAAGAAAATCTGGGCAACACATCCAAAATAGGCAATTGACCTGTTATTTGTGAGGGACACAGCCATGGATTTGGGTACAATGACAGAAACTGTGCCGAGGTCTACCATGGCCAAATGCATGAGGAAAAAATACATGGGGGTGTGCAGATGATGGTCAAGGACAATGACGAAGAAAATGAGAAGATTCCCTGTTACTGTTATCAAGTACACTACTAGGAACATTAAGAAGTGTAAGATCTGCAGCTCCCTGACCTCTGAGAATTCCAGCAGCAAAAATGTGGCCGTGGATGAAAGGTTGCTCATGTTATCTTCTGTGCTTGAATTCACCTGTAGGAGGAAGGAGAGCAGATTTGATATTGATGAATTGGGAAGCATTTCAGAGTCTAGTCCATCTAAATGCTGAAGCCTGCACCATGTGAAGATCCTTTCCATCAGTTCCAGTGCATTTCAAGGCAAAATTGGCTTCTCTTGGAAGTGATCAGAACTGAAGTTGGACCTTGTGAGCACTTTGGTATGCAATTTAAACTTGAGAAAGTCAGTGTGGCTCCAGAAAGGCAGTCACTTATTATTTGTTTATTTATTTAAAACTTTTCTAGAACTTCCCTTTCATGGTCTCAGGATGGTTTAACAATATTACAATATAAAATAAAATGAAACACAGCAACCTAAGAAAATTTCCAAACAATAAAATCCCAATTAAAACAATCAAATCTGAAAACATTAGGAGAATAGAAAGGTTTTTGTCTGGTGCCAAAAAGGATACAGAGAAGTTACCAGGCAAACCTCTCTGGGGAGCAAATTCCACAATTGGTGCACCACCACAGAGAAGGCCGTTCTCTGTGTAGTCACATTCCTAATCTCCTTCAGCAGGGCTCCTGGAGAAGAACCTCTTCCCCAGATCTTAATGGGTGGGCAGGCACATATGTAAGGAGACGCTCCTTCAGGTAACTAGGCCATTTCATTTGATAGCAGATCAGATAGCATTGCTCTTAACTCTGACGTTGGCAGTGGGAAGGGGGGCTATGGTTGAGTGAATGGTATGCTCTTAATTGTGTTCTCTTCCAGAGGCAAATGCACACATCTGGATACGCAGTTGCAAAACCAAGAAATTGCAAAAAATCAGTCAGGAATCATGTATGCCCAAGAGGAGACTTCACCAGAGCATGCAAACATAAAGCTGTCAGTCCAACTTTGTCAGCCAAGACCCAGAAACCATATGCAAGAAGTGATGAAAAAGATACAGGCCTTGAAAGATGGCATGTTTTTGAACATCTGTTCTTTCTCTTTCACTCAATGAGTCTATGCATGCTAGTGAATAAATACTGAAGGAAATAGACTGGGATTCATCCGAAGAAGAAAGAGCAATATACTAATTAGAGGTGTACATGTGAAGGAATCCTTCACCCAGTGGAGCTGGATAACACCATGTCCGGTAATTCAAATCCATGGTTTTGAAAAGTTGGAATGTAGAAGTTTTCTTTGTTTTAAGAATCAATGTTAACTAAGCAGAGACTAAATCTCTTTCTGACAACCCAAACCCAAACTTGAATACTCACATAGACATGTGTGTGTCCATGACTGCCAGGCAAGTGGAAATGCTGTCTGTGTCCCTTCTATGATCTGGACCTTCTACCCATGCAAGATCCTGGATTGGACTCTTGGGCATGAACTTTGGGGAAAGGTGTACTTTGATGATTCCCTCCATCTCCTACTACCCTGGACCTTGTCTTTTCCACTGCTGCTACTACGGGTTTTGTAAAAAATGTTGTGCTACTACCCTGGATGGAAGAAATCCAGGAACCAGTATGGAAAATCTTGCAAACATCCCTGCAGAAGCATGAGGTAGATCATCATATTGCCTGAAGGGGACTTGAGATTTGTTTAGACGGAAACTAATTCTTTTAGACAGCTATGATCAAAGGAAATTTAACTGTGTTCATTAGCCTGGTAAAAAAAAGCAACTGAACAATCCTGATCCCGCACTGGATGTTTCTAAGAGTTTATGAAATGAGACTGATACTGTGGGAATTTTGTTCCTACAGAATGCAATACATCAGCTGTGCACATATTTCCCTGAGTAGATAAGTCTGCAGAACATTAATTGCATGGAAGCAATGTTGGAGTATTGAACTCACACAAGGGACCCTTTACTCTGGGTGCAACAACCTTGTTGCACAGTTTCCTGGTAATGGAAGTGACTTCCCCCACTACACAAGCATATGTACATCTCAAAGGTAGAAAATTATTTCCAATGCATTGATTTTATGCAAAGATACCTTCATTGATTTATAGCACTTTGTTAATCAAGAGAACATTCAGTAACTTGGGGAATTTTTGTTCATTTTAGTCAAAGGGTGAAATGGTTTATCTTTCTGCATTTTGGCATATAAAGTGTTTAAGAGAGCAGTTGGAAGATATTTTATGAAATACATGATCAAATAAAACTGAGGGGTTCGTTTGTTGATTCTCCTTTAGCCCCATCAATTCCAGTCATTAGGGGAATTGGGAGAGAAGCAGCCCTTTCAAGCAAAATTGTGTGTGTGTGTGCAAAGAATTCATCAGCTTGGAAGTTAGATAAGGGGAAAGAAAAAGGCTGAGCACAACTCTGGACTGAACCAGGCACACAGTGCACAAAAAGACTTACCTGCGCCTTTTCAATGGGTACTTTTCCTTCTGACGTGAGCTTTCTCCTCCAGCTGCTTCATCTGATCAGTAGTCCAAAGGGTGCAAGTCCATGAATCTGCTCATGTAAGCAACTTCAGTCACACTGTGGCAACTGCCACAGAATGTGTCACTTTTTATTTGTGTCTACCATAACTTTACAGGGACAGCAGAGTCAGATGAGAGAGACCTAAGTGAGTAGCACTGTACTCCTATAATATGCATGGAAAGGAATTTAAAGCTTGCTTGGGCTCCTGGGGACATCATTCCCAAAGGCAAGCAAATTGCATCAGAAATGTTGTTGAACGACTCTCCTAGACCAACGTTGTTTTTGCTGCATGTATAGCAAAGTTAATATTAGCACTTAGTTTTAAATGCACTATGTTGCTATAGAGATATACAGTTATCTTCCTGATTATCCCATGACTGCAACCCTGTAAACATTTATATGGAAGTAATTTCCCTGTAATGCAGTGGGTTCTACCCGGGCTGTTAAAACAGAAGTGCTCTGTTCATGCCCACAGATCCATAAGGATGTATGCCAAGACTACTTCTATTCCATGTCAGATTTGCATATGGCCATTAAGGATGGGAGGAAACCTTTTGGAGCCTGTCCCTATGGCATTTGCGGGCTTCCTCATGTGTTTGGCTTAGTCCTACACAGTGAGGCAAGCTAAGAGTATATCCATGATTGCTTGTGTGATGAAGGTCACCCAGGCACCAACTTTCTTCCATGTCTGCTGAGGAAATACAGAGCTGCTGCTGGTGGCACAGGATATAGATGCTGTTCCGCAGAGATCATGTGGGACCCCAATGCTTGTCAGCCTCATGCAAAGAACTTCCTTGTGTATCAGTTGCAGTAGCACTGATGCACATGGCACGGAGGAGGAACACTTGAGCCAGCCCCAGTCTCGTTCTGTGATACAGCCCTATGTTCCCCCACATGTTTCTAATACTGTTTGTCTGCACTGATGTACACACACACACACACACAGAGAGAGAGAGAGAGAGAGAGAGAGAGAGAGAGAGAGAGAGAGAGAGAGGTGGGGGGGACTGGTACAGAAACAGGAAATTAAAGACTAATTATGTAGGATGGATGTAGAACTGAAATACAGTTCATATATTCTTTCAAGGCATCCTTTAAATGTAACTGCCTAGTATTCCTACTCTGAGCTTTTTCCTCTATATTAGCTTTCCCTAAACCTGCCCCAACAACAGGTGCAGTCAATGATCCCCTCATTTGCTCAGTTCACCTAGGGTGTTGTTCCTTAACCAGCTGAAATCACCCATAGGGTTCTTTGCTGCCCCATCTTTGAGAACCTGCAAACTCAGAGATGGGACTCTGAAGGCGAACACTCTGTCCTACCCTGACCCCATGTGCTCCTCCCCATTGAACCCCCCCCCACCAGCAGGGTGCAAATCTGGGGGCTGAAAAGGATGGTGGCACACACACATGTCAAACCCTACCTGCATCCCAGCCTTCTTCACCTCCATTCCCCGATGATTTCTCGTGATAGTCTTCTAGGTCATCCATGTGACACAAGGCACCATTGCAGTGGAGATTGCCACTGCTGTGCCTCACTCCAGGCACATGATGCACAAAAGGCTCCAACTTTGCATCCAGGGCAGGGTGCATTGGCTCACTGCCTTAGTTGAGTTTCTGAGAGCTGCCAAATTTTCCCCTTGTTTCACTTACTCCTTTATGTTCTCTTGATCTGTTTCTTTTCCTTCACCCTTTGAATTATTCACCAAATCCTTGGAAATATTTGCCAGATGATTTCAAATCTTTTGAGTTACATTAAATGTCACTAATACTTATATCTGATGAAATCAGTCTTATCAAAGGTGAACATTGGTCGCAACCAGCTGGATATAACCATTGATTTGAAGAAGAAAATGTGCTCTAATCATTGAGAGATTTGATAGGTACACTAATTACAAACATGCCCTAGTTATGCTTGTAGGTAATCAAGCACTATTTGATTGCTCAGTCCTTAGACAGGTCAAGCACGGGTTGCACCATTTCAATGAAATCCAGTCAGTGTGAGTTACTCAGTGTTACTCTATCTCTACTGCAAATTATGGGTTAAGCAGTATGACCCTTGAATGATCTCCCATTCATGCATTGCACACTTAACATGACTGCAGAATTTACCTTCAGTGGGAGTGCCTGAGGTGAAAGTCATGGTGGCTATCCACCACTGCTTCAATGTACCAAATGGCCACTGCCTTGAGAAGAGAAGAGAAGAGAAGAGAAGAGAAGAGAAGAGAAGAGAAGAGAAGAAGGCAAGGCAAGGCAAGGCAAGGCAAGGCAAGGCAAGGCAAGGCAAGGCAAGGCCCCTTGCAGGACTGTGTGGGTAATGCAGACCACAAGACAGTACCAGGAAATGGAGAGTAAATTATATAACAAAGTTATTGTACAGTGAATGATCCATTGTTGGAGTCTTTATTATTTATCTATTATTTAAAGTATTTATGTAGCATAGTGCTCTCAAAACAGTTTACATGATGTAATTAAAATTTACAATGAAGTAGGCAGCAATAAATAGAGAAGACACAAAAGGCTTGGCTGAATTGAATATATATATTCAATACATTAAATATGAACAGAATCCAAGTGGATATCTCTGTGTGTACAAACATTCCCC